CATAGGATAGTGAATCTTACTATCCTGATGTAGTGACGTTTCATGGATGTTACGTGACAAGCCTGCATGATACTTTCTGCAGTATACCATTTCCGAAACATCTTTCAGAAGAACTGTGATGCACCAATAGATCTCAGAAGCAGATGAACCATTACATCATCAAAGATTCGGATGGAGAGCGGACTCCAGCAAATGGCTCCAGCGAAGACATCACGGGAAAATAGGCTCATGGATGACGTCATTGGGGGTCAGCAGTCAAGGAGCATGGACCACAAGCAAGAGCCACATGAAAGTGAGATCAACACCCTCATCTTTCGCAAAATGAGCAAGCCCAGTCCAAGTGGGTCTTGTTTTGCTAACATTGGCTTCATTTCATCTCATTGAAAAAAAATATACAATCACATTCTGAATCTTGACCAACGAAACGAAATTTGCCAGTTTTTCTGCAGTTATGGATTTTTCTTTATCTCAACCTTGCCATTTTTCTAATTACTTTCAACGCATTCTATTATTAACAAAATTACTATAGCTGAAGGTTGAATGCCACATGGGCAGATAAAAAGAGACAAGGCAAAGCTACTGCTACCTAGTTCGTGATCAGGAATGTAAATAGGATTGCCAGATGTGGCATTTATATGAATTTGTCTAGTAACTCTGTCCCCATTACAAGCCACAGCTTTGTTCTCAGTTTTTAAACTATGGACCCACTAGTTCAAGGGTTGCAATGAAATTGGTAGAACACCCAGATCCAGGCACTCTTCCTGAGGGCTGTGCATGTGCACTGCATCCAGGATATGGGAAGACAAGGTACTGTCATACTCCTTCCCATCGTGAAGAAATTTCATATTCTGAGGTAGCTGTAAGTTTGTATCTTGATCAAATTTCACCAAAAAAAACCAGTCTGTATCATAATATGTATGCAAACATAATCAAGTAAAACAGTCAATTGATGCAAAAAAAAATATAAAAAAAAAGTATCAGCTGCAAGGTTATAATGATTAATTGTATTCCTGGTAGTTTACAATAGGATATTTCCAGAATGATCTACTTGGGAAAGTATGCAAATTCATTACTTGCACCTCGTAGAAACCCAGCTATTCCTAATTAGCAGGATTTTTTTTCCACGTCTTCAGCTATCATGACTTCATGCAAGCTTGTGTCCTTGTATTGGAACATTGAGATGTTATTAGAGGAGAGGGATGCATGAAAAGATGCAGAATTCATCCACACAGAGAAGAAATAGAGTGTAGAATCCATCTTGCTTGATAATCCATGATGATAGCTGGTGGAGTAGCTCACTGTGTTCATATTTGAGCAGTGGGCATCTCGTAGTGTGATTCTACTTTCGACTACAAGCAGTTCAAAATTGAAAGCTACAGCCCCCCCCATCTCTTCAAATGCCTTTTAAGTATACTTGTGAGAAGTCATGTAAAACTACAAATGATCCCATCAATGTGCTCAGGCCAAGTTTCTGATATGTCCCATACAGCCTGAGCCAAGAAAAAACAAGCTTGAACAATTAGCCCAAAATATATTGCATATAGACACAATGATTACTTCTTGTTCTTATGCAATATGAAAAAGTGGGAAAAATGTTTCAAGATATAAAATACTCAAAATCCAACAAATTTCCTTAAATATTTGGGCAATTCTACTTGAAGGGCATCTAAAGTTTTGAAATCTGCTTCCTGCAAGTGTTAGGTGAATGATTTCTGTGCTTGAACAACAATCAATAGCTAAAACTTGATTGGAGCTTAATAGATTTTTAGGAGTACATCAGCCACTACAAATGAATAGATACACCAAGAGGCAGTTGCAGTATTACTTGACTTCTCAATAATCCTGTGCTCTTAACGAGCCACCATACAATATCCTCTTGCATCTTGTGCTTGGATTTTTAGAAAAGTTTAATTTTATGCATTATTCATTACATTCACCATTCATGGGAGCTTAACATTCAGTTTTCAAGAAGTACATACCTACAAAGGCAAGCAGACATTTCACTAGCAATGAATTTGAAGAAACTAAATACACAAGAAAATGTTTGGATACAAGAGGATATTGCATTCATATAAACCACCCAGAGTTTAAAGAAGAAAACTCAAGGCCTGTATTGTATCCTAGTTATGCACAGGATTTCTCAAAACATTATACCTCTTGCAGGATACCAAGTACTCAAGAGCCAGGTCCTAGAGGGGGGAGAATTTCACCCCAGCAAGCTTTACCCTCAGCAAAGGCTGCACGGTACATGAGCATGTGAATGTAGTGCATGTGAAAGAGCAAACTGCTTTTGCACCTCTAAATACTTCACTTCCAGCCTTTGCTTTGTGCTGGACAGCATTGGTTAAATAAAAGAGTACCCTAAGGGTTCTTGTCTTTCACTGTTGCTTCTCAAACATCCCTGCAATGACTTATGAGTAATGCTTGGCTGTAGTATTGGCCAGAGACTACTTGACATGTCTAATACCATTCATTCCAGGTTCATCCAAACGTGGTGACCATTCTGGAGCAGCTCCATCATCCCTCATGAGTCTCCTGCAGATATGGGTTACCTTCACACATTGAGTGCATCCAAACCATGCCGATACCAATATAGCAAAATGCCAGATCTGTGTCTCTTCTCCGAGGACCAAAGCTGTGCAATGTTTGGCTCTGTAGGTCATGAGCTTGAAGCAGCTGATGGCACATAAACACACTGCTTTTTATCCCAGGGAGGTCAACTCATGAGGTGCCCATCTTGAAAAACTTTCAAATATCCAATGTCTCTTGATTCATAGTATTTATAATGCAATGACTTGTGCAAATGCATGGCTGAGTTGTGGTATTCAAGGGGTTGTTATATGTGAGTAGCATCATGAAGTGTAACATTCTCCTCCATGACAGATTGATATCATCTCCCATGATATTGTATCCTATGATGAGAGCCACAGGAGTGTACCGTGTCCCTAAGAACTTTCAAAGAATATGTTCATTTACGTAGTTGGCAGTCTGAAATTCAATCATACTCCTAATTATAATATAAGCCACTATGGGTCCATTGCCTTGGGTTTTCTACATACCTGGTGGGTATAGACTAGGGCCATGATGGTGCAATACTAGAGCTGTAGGAAACTGCTCAAATCACTTCTTCCTAAGCAATTTGGCAAGTTTACAAGATCCTGGTTTTCCATTTTACAAATTCTGCAGTGCAACTCAATATTTTGCCATCTGGGCATGGATGGAAAGAGACAGATGTATTGTGAAAAGATGAAATATAGGCACCTATTATCATAATACATTGATGGTAATGTATTCATTACTCACTCATTTGTATTCTTACTCTTCCTGTCAATACATATTTGTTCTGGATCTTCTTTGTCTGGGATCACAGCAGCAGAGCAACTAAATGATGACAGATTTACAGATTCCTTAGCTTGCAAAGCTAGGAAATATCAAGTACTCATTCAGGAAAATGTAAGGATCAAGAAGAAGACCTTGCCATGAGATCTTCAATCAATTTCTCACAACATTTTCATTCTGCTGTTCAGGCATATACATCCCCTTCAATGGTGTCTTAGAGCAACATCATCCAGGAAGATACATGAGGATGTTCTTTTCCATCTAAAGAAGCAAGTCTCCCAATACAGGTGCTCACTGGACTGTACCATGAAAGTGTTGGTAATCCAATGCCAATATTGTGTAATAAAATTAAATACTCATGTGAATTGCTTCTTGATGTCTCACATTTCAAGCCACAATATGGAAAAAATGTGCAAACAAAGACTATTCCTTGTACACCAATGTTATAACTGCTGCCAAAGTGCTAATGCAATATTAGTTTCCCTCAGTGCTAACAAAATTAGCTGATTTAGAGCCATCAGCTATGGGAGTTTCAAGTGTACAAATGTGACTGCATTGGATAATGAATTAGTGAAGTGATCTCCTTTGGACTCTGCTCAGCTAATGAAGGAATCCCAGCTGAGATAACCATTAGCATGAACAAAAGTTGCACAAAGTCAACTATGACAAGCTGAAATTGATGATTGTGAAACCAGTGTTACATAAGATGGCAACCTGTATGGGCTGGGCACATCGGTTGTACTTTCATGTGCAGTTCACATGACAAAAATCCAAGTGAGAGTGGAGCATGTAAGTCCCAAGACAGAAAAAAAAAGGCAGTTCAGTAGTAGGTGCTGAAGATGTGGTTGGGAAAGTCTCAAAATGATGGAATGAAGAAAATGATTATCTAAATCCAAATTAAGGAGCAAGAATAATGAAAAGAGTATTCAGCAGAGTATCACTATCAAAAGATGTAATGAATGCTTTTTGAACAAGTAAACTGCATCAGTTGCAGTCACACCCTCAGGAATGACATCTAATTTCATGTGGAGCTGGAGTACAGTTGCCATCTGAATGAAACCCTTCCCTGATATTAAAGTAATTGCCTGCTTCACTTACTGGCAGTTTTCATGGTCGATGACACCAATAAGTAACAGATGACAGCAAGAAACCTTTTTTGAGGTGTCAAACCATCTTCTCCTCACTACCAATCAGTAACAACATGACCTACTCCATCTGCAATCCCTTTCCACAAATGACACTACAGGAACTCTCCCCCAAATCTCATTCCAGCTATCATTTTGTGTCTTAATTTTGAGACATAAAATAAGCAATCAGGGGCAGCCATACTAAACCTTGCACAGATGCAATTACTGCCACCCACTTGTATAATACTGTAGTCATATGATTTTTGAAGATCTATTCTCTTCTGCTCAAATGGACTAAATGAATAAATATCAGCAATTCATTCCCAGATTTAGAAGCCTCAACGTCTGGCCATTACTCCCATAACATTTTTATCCATTTCCCCAAAAATAGTTGAGTAGACCAATGATGGTCTCAAGCCTTTGATGTCAGCATTCCATCAGAAAGATCTGTAGGAGTTGTTCCTCTAGCCTACAGTTAGAGGGTATACAAAAGTGCAGAAGGACGAGAAGGGAACCATGAGACTTGTGATATACCTGAATGCAATGAAAGCATCGCCTTGTTCTCCACCAACTATATGAACTCCTCCTTCTGGGATTGAAAGTCCTCGGAAATACTGACGGATGTCTAGGGCATTTGCTGCCCAAGGCAAGTTCTGCAGTCGGATGATCACACTCATGGTGATGTGGTGCTGATGATGTCTCCTCCAAAGTCCTCCCTCCAATGACTATACTGTCTATACTGGCTGAACTGAACAGGCCTAAATATTGCCTTGTAACTTCAAGCCAAGTCACCTTATTTACTGAAATATATCATGGACTACCACCTGCAACAAAAGGAAAATGATTTCATGGCATTGGTTGATCTTGCACTGATTGCATGCTGAGCAGTACTGTAGGTACAGATTGGCAATACTTCATTGAAGATAAAGTATGCAAAGTATGCAAAGCATGCAGTGAGAGTTCAAGATAATGAAGCTTAAAATAGCATGGTACACTTATTAACCCTTCAAGTGGTGAATTTCTCAAACAGAAGTCCACTCCATAATGGGGATTTTTTTTAAAGCCATAATTAATATTTGTGTATAAAAATGCATTACTTTTTTTCCAGCTAATACTTAAATTTCAAGTTATAATCAAACTTGAAAAATAGCATGACATATTAATACATCACACCCATGTAGGGTGTTTCACTATGACAGTTATGTATATCATGCTCACTTAATGGGTTAAGCTGGCCTAATATCTCCATCCCATGGTACAATGCATGGCCTCAGCAGGATGCAGAGAAGCAAGGACATCATGGAGATATAAGAGAAATCAGAATGAACACTGTTACCATACTATGATGCTGTGTAAGTTATCTATATTTAATCATTTATTATAAAGAATGAATGATGCTTTGTAAGAAATGCAGATAATCATCTCACTCCTGATTGTGCACTTAGTCATGCTGATTTCTCCTTTGCTAGCGAGAGTAAATGATAATGCTATATCTTAAGAGATGATGATTTTTGAATACAGATACTCTATGATTGCTTGTAGGTTAAATGCAGATACAAATTATGATTAACCACAATCACAGCCAATGGATGATTGACCATTCCCAATACTACAAGCTTTTCCTCATACACTTCCTCCAACTCCTTGCTTGTAAATAATTATCAGCAACCAGAGTTCAGAGAGCAGATCATTTTTTATCTCCAGCTCTGTGTGCTTCAGGTAAATATCAGACATTTAGCAAGTGCAGGATTTTATACAGCAAAGCTCCTAACAGGAGAGTGGGGAGTATTAGTATGGGGTATTATGCATAAAAAAACTCTACTTCTCCACATATTAAAAATAAAATGACTCAAGAAACATCATAACCTTCCATGAGAATTTTAAAAAAGTTAAGGTTTATCCATTCCTTTACATCATATACATTGCCTAGCTTAGCAGAATCTCAATTACTAAGTGCACAATACCTTCCTAAATTCAGTGCTTCCTGGGTTTTTGACTATGTTCAACTCTTAAAATCTAATAATTTGAAAAATGAAACAAGAATGATCAAGAAGAAAGATAAGCAGCAGATGAAAACATTTACCTTTTCATCATTTACAAAAAAAATATTCCAACAGTCAACATCAAATATCCAACAGTCCTAATTTTTATGTTATAAAAATTGGGTTTAGGCGCTATAAAAATTGTGACTGTTTACCCGAAAACATTGGTATACATAAGAAAATGTCCTGTCATGAAAACCATTGAAGAAAGAAGTTACATGCATGAATAGTGATGAAATAACCAAGAAACAGTGAATGGTCCAAACCCAAGAACATACCCAGGATACCACTGCACAGGCCCGAATATGTGCTGGGGTATACAGTGAAAGGATTAAGAAATGAAGATATTAGTTTTGCTTTTAATAGTAGTTTCCTAAACTCTTTCTCATGCCTGAGTCAATATTAGTGACTCATCTACATGTCTAGTCCAAGTCTTCTCTCAGAACAAATCCCAGATAAGATAGGACTCTACAAGTCATACAGTACTTGAGCAGTAGAGATAAATATTTTAAGATACTTTCATTTTCTATAAAATGAAATCTTAGTATCAGCAGAAAAATTTAACATTTTCTGTCCTTGCCTTCAACATGTGAAACTTGTTCTTGCCAAAGAAGAGATTCTATCGATATACTAAGTAAAATATTCAGACAATACTTGACTAATTCTTTTGCTGCAGCATGTACATGTCACCATTCCCTTGACTTTTTGGAGACTGTTACTCATTTTTACTCATAATTCATTTCCATGCTAAAAATCAACTGATTTTTACAGAGATACATTCATAGCAAACAATGCAGAATATATTTATAGACCTGTCCCAAAAATGCTACAACTGCAGCCTGAGGAATGGAGTATGAGGCAGAAACAAAACAGCAACAGCAAAAGAGTTATTGGACTTACTCCCATAGGTATAAATGCTTTGTTTAGTTGTGGCTCTGGCTGCCCTTCAAGTAGCATATTTTAAGATTTAGCTCACCTAGTGTGGAATTTCATGCACAATTTTACTAAATAATTATATAGATATCAAACCCCCTCTGTTCAGTCAAGTCTGGGACACCCTGTATATTTCCCATATATTGGTATATATAGCTATAAAGGCTATAAAGCTACATTTATTGAACATGTATGGTTTCATGAGACTAATTTAGGACTGAAACACTCACCTACTTACTACCAACACATCAGAATTTAAATTTAAATTCACATACTATTTAAATCTCACAATTCCATATTAACAGCAAGACATTAGGGTCTACCTCTTGAATTACTTTCTTCTCCAAAAGGACTACAACTTTCTAATTTTAAATTAACCTCTCTTACATGAAATACAAGAGGCAGAAGATACAGTTATCCCACCCACACAACCTTCACTCAGTGATACTACAATAAAATGGTTAAGGAATTATAAACAGTACAGTTCCAGACTATTAATACAATACTTTAAGCAGGGCTTTACCAATACACCAGCTAAAATCATGAGAACTGGCTGTCAATGCAATCTCACCTACCATCACAAAGTTTCAAACATTAAGGTGCTGATTTTCCAAGTCATCATAGAAAAGAGGAAAGAGAAGCTGATATGTACATGAATGCAATCAAGTGCCAGAGTCTGTGCTGAAAGCCTCACCTTCCTCTTTCAATGCCATGCTACCAACATTCCCATATTTAACAAATTGATATTAGTGGTAATCCCAAACTTGTAGGCAGTTACTAAGATGAAGCTATGGTTCACACAACTACACAATTTCATATATTTGATTCAACAATCCAACAGGACTGTCTGCTACTCCTCCATTGGAAATGATCTGTTCAGCATCATTTTCATTCTGCTCACCTTCTCTTAAAACTCTGCTGAAACCCACAACCCTCACTCAGAATCTAAATTATTGTCTGATTTGTTGCAGATACTTATGTCACTCTCAGCTTGATAAATTACAATGTCAAACTTTCATATATGGCATCTGTATAGTTCCCTTCATGGATCTCCAATACTATGTCTGTCTTATAGTCTTCCTCTCCATCACTTTCATCTGGTAATGCCAGTCAGGTGTAGAAGCAGATTGATGAGCGGTTTTAAAAGAGGTCTCAGATCCTGGTCAAATACTAAACAGTGTCATCAGACAGAAAGCAAGCTTGAAGGTTCCACAAGGATAGTTCAGGCAGGGTCATCTCCCTTTTTATTCCATGAAGACAATCATCAAATGACTTCATGAATGAGCACCACATATCATTTAATGAATTTGGGTATCAGAAAGTCAAGTCAGTCTTGTGTTCTCATCCCAAGAGCTGAAGATATCTGTAAAGCAAGTCACATGGTCTCAAGACTGACAAATGCTCATAATTGAAAGTGAAGGTGATCAATATTGTATCAGAAGGCCTAGTGATCCTTGGAAGCAACTGGTTTGGAATAGGATCTTGGTATCTCCATGCATTTGCTATTGAAATCTACCACAAAATATAGCAAGGCAGTAAAGGAAGCAAACAGAATGCCCCCTTTCAACCAGTGCTCACTGATCTAGAGATGCTGACTTCCACTAAATACTCGATTCCATAAGCAGTTTATGAGGCCACACTGAGTTTTCAGTGCAGTATGCCCATTCTGGCTTAAAAAAAAAAAAAAAAACTACCCTCTTGGCCTAGGTACAGCCATAGGTTTGCCTAACCTAAGCTAGAGTCATTGTGTCAAGAGGTCCACTGAGTAAGCTCAAGTGATTATGATTTTGCTAAAAGAGTAAAACATGATCAAGATCCATGACTCAACTTAAAAAAAGAAGCTGCAACCTCATTGGCCAGAGGGTAAACCCCTCCAAAATTGACCTGCTGGGATCAAAGTAAATTGATTTCAAAAAGTGTAGCAACTAAAGCTACTACAGTGTTTTTCACTTCAGTTAGACAATTTTTCACTTGACTAAGACACCAATGCGAGGAGTATTCAGAGAGGAGGCGAGGGCGCAGGTGCCCCTGGTGACTAGCGACACCTTTCTCTTCTTCGAATATTTAGGCTTTTTCATATGCATCAAACTACGTACTGGATACGATGAACCGCATGCATAGCCATGTTGTCAATGGGAAACCTTCCTTGCAGTCTATTTAAATAAAAAGGCTCTACGTTTTCAATTTCCCATCGGTTCAATGATGTAGAAACACTGGATCGGACTTCGATGGACAATCCCAGATCCACATTAGATAGGCCTACTTGTGTTCGGCGTGGGGAAGGATGCTTCAGAACCCAGGAACGATGCCCAAATCTTCACCCGTTTTATTGAAATATTAAGGAAAACAGTAATGGGTGACACGAAAGCCTAGTTTTTCACGACATTAAATTAGCATTTCAATATATTGTGTATTTGGGAAGGTTCATATTTATTTTCCTCTCTTCAGCAGGAAATTAATCATCATCGTTGTCGCCAATGTCATCACGACATCTGCACTTAAGAATGGAACTCCTTGTTTCTGCGTCGATCCGCTATATCACCCTCACCATGCACCGTTGTCGAAGTCAAGTGAAAACATGTCTAACTCAAGTGAAAAACACTGTAGTTGAATTCAACATGGATACTTGATGATGAACCCTAGATTCAAGTGAGGGGCAGGTGTGCCTGTAGCCATCATGGCTGACTGCAAAAGTACCATTATTAGTCATCGTAGAAAATCGATCCAAAGTGGATTGGATTGATTAGGTTGAAGCCTTTTCTGATATTTGCCCAGTTTTTATATCTGCAGGTGTGGTTGATTTCATTGTTCATTTTTCAACACTTTCATTGTTGCCACTGGATTTATGTGATGGTGATGTGATGGTATTTTG